TGAACCTCCAGTCAATTGGTTAGCAGCAAGTGTTTTAGCTATTTGTACCACTCCTGACTTTAAACATTCGGGATATAAACTAAGGCCAATCTGTTATGTATTACAACCCATACAAGAGACTGTAGGCTGACCTGCTGATCACTGGAGAAAGATGAGACTTTCTGCTCCCATAAAGATTTACAGCCTCTGAAACCCTATACGGGGTCACTGTGAGTTGGAACTGACTCCAGGGCACATCCCCACCACAGCTGATCTTTGGTGTCATTGCCAAGAATTCCAGGGAGCATGATGAACTGCACAGCTGCTGCCCATAAGCAGCTATGATGAGGGTCCCGCAGCCCCCTGAAGTTAGGTGATTTGCTAGGAGGGCTCAAAACTCCGCGTTTAGTCGGACTCACAGCTGTTGGTTGTTACAGCAGAAGGCTACAGAGTGAGGCAGCGACAGGAAAAGCACGTGGCGTACAGTCGGGAGAAACAGCACCAGTTCCAAGGGTGGTCTCCAGAGCAGTCTGTGGGGGTGCATTCGGGTCCCCCCACAGCGAGTTGTGACAGCATATGTGAGATAGCCCCCGGTGTTTTCATCAGGGGCCTAGGTGAAATGGTTTGTGCTCATCTACTAACCCACTTCAGTAGCACTGTGGAAGAAAAGCCTGGCCATCCGCTTCTGTAAAGATTACAACTAAAAAAATCCTACTGAACAGTTGCGCTCTGTCACACGTGGGGTCGCCTCTCCAGGGCAGCGGGTTTGGCTTGGTCATGTCAGCACCCTCTGCCTAGCATATACCAAAATCCCAGGCACCCCGAGGAAAGCAGGCATTTAACATCAGCTAAGTTGTTTGTGTAAACAGGTTAGGCACATGACCTGCCTTTATCAGTTAGGGTGGTGGGAACACTCCCAGACTTCAAGTTCCCAGATGACAGCCAGGGTCTCAGCTTGTGAGGCCAGTGGTTGGACCTGCTGTGATAATTCTTGCTTTGCATAGCATTATCCGCTGCTAACTCGATGGGACCATCAGTGGACCAGGCCTGAGTGTCTCAAGGAACCTCTGTGACATGTGAGGCGCTATGGGACCCCTGACGGGAGCCAGTGGCTGGGTTTCAGCAGCAGAGCTGGGGGTACAGCTTTCATGACTGAAGTAGTGCCACCCCTCTACCTAAAACCAAAATAACACATCCCTAAGGTTGCTTGCTGTCACTATAACCCTAGGAAATGACCAGGGCCTTGCATTCTTGGCACACTCAGGGCATTCAAGGAGCCTCTCCCAGCTCGGGGACCCACGGAGAGCAGCATTGCTGTGACCTTGACCCTTCATGCCTGGCAGGCTCTGGACGCCTCTCGGGGAGGGAGAGCGAGAGCACAGGCCCCAGAGAGAATGGACACCAGACTACGTGGAGTCTGGCTTTGTCATTGTCGGCTGCCTGGACATCACCGTAGCAGTGCCTTGTTGCCCTTACCCCTCATTGGCCGGGGGCGTCTGGTTTTACTTACTTGATATCCTGGTGGACATGTCTGCCAGCAGCTTCCAGCGTTACCCTTGCTCCCTCCTTCCTCTTTCCTGATGGAAGTTTCATACGCTCCTGTTCTTCTCGACACACACTGCATGCAGCCAGCTTCCATCAGTTTCTGTGCTGCCCACTGTCCCCTGTCCCTGCTCTCATGGGGAGCTGTCAGCCCGATAAGGGGGCAGCAGGGAATCCGGGTCCAAGGACTGTGCCACCACTGTGCCAGCAGCGGAGAGAAATAGCAGACTGTGGGGCCCCCAAATGGGAGCTTATCGTATGTCAGACGGAGGCTACCTAAAGGACGCCAAGAGAAGCTGTCACAGAGGACTCAGATGTGGGGCTGAGGTTTGCAGGAGGAGTAAGGGTTGCCCAGTGGGAGAGGACACACCAGGCGGAGACAGGCTCGGGGCCCTAGCAAAGTTCCTTCAGTCATCTGATACTTAGCACGCCTAAATCCCACTAAATCATGGCCGGGCTTTGGACATATTAGCAGGAGGGACCAGTCCTTGGAGAAGGACATTATGTTCGATAAAATGGAAGGTCAGAGAAAAAGAGGAAGACGCTCCCCCCGCCCAGTGAGATGGACTGGCACGGTGGCAGCAGTAATGGGCTCAAGCATAGCAGTGGTTGTGACGTTGGCCCAGGACCGAGCAGTGTTTCCTTCTGTTGTGCATAAGGGCCCTATGAGTCAGTACCAGCCCAACAGCACCAAACACCAGCAACTCTAAATTCCAGCCACTGGAGAAGTGGACAGGAAAAGTCCCTGCTTTCATGGGACTTGTGTTCTAGTTGGGAGAGAGAGATGGGAGCTCAAATACGAAGATAAGTCAAAAAAGTATTGTTAGTAGGGTTTCGGTTCATGCGTACACGGGTTTAGTTCCACAAGATATGCTTAAATATGTCTCTCTAATCAGTGGATGGCTGTAGACAAGTTCTTCAGTAATTTACTTGTCTTAGTCTCATTAGGGAGTCTTGGTGTGGCACTGTGGGCTGATGTGTCAGACTGCAAAGTCGTTTGAACTGCAAGGTCGGTGGTTCAAGTTCACCACCTGCATCTTGGAAACCCTATACAGGGTTGTTATGGATCGGAACTGACTCTGAGCGCTTAATAACACCAGCGTCTCATTAGAGTGCCTTCCACAAAAAAATGATAACAGGAAAGCACATGATTCGTTGGCTCAGCTGATCTTTCCATCAGTCTGTTATGCAATAATGACTCTTGTGAAGAAAATTGTATAGAATGAAGCGTAACTGGGGATGAATCTGTGATTTACCAACATGATCCAGAGCGCAAGGTCCAATCAAAACGGGGGCCTCTTAGGGGATCTGCTTGGTCCTGTAGGGTCACTGTGAGTTGAAATGGGCTTGGTAGCAGTGGGTTTTTTGGAGCGTATGTTTGGTGTGATGCGCCAAGGTGGTAGTATAGTCAAAGGGCGTCAGCGTTTGCTTGAAGAGTGAGTCAGCTGACTGGCTGCTGTGTGAAGAGACGGTGGCCGAGGTGGAAGAAGGGACATAGGTGAGGAGGCTGCTATACTGAGTTATTTGGGAGTTGATGCTGACTTGAAGCAGGGTGGGAGGTACAACAGTGAAGGTGGTGACAAGCGGTTAGATTCTGCTTACAATTTGAAGGAGAGCCCGTGGGATTACCTGATGGAGCAGGTGGGGCGGAGGGGCTTTGCATAAGCAAGAGGCACCGTGGGCACGTCCACCTTACTGCTAATGCTTGACAGGCTTAACCTGAGTCCAGTTCCCACCTGGAAATGGATCTGGGCCTCATCGTCACACGTCTCCATCCACGTCACCATATGCTCGTAGCTGCGTTCACGCTCATCCCCAGGTACTCAGGCTAGGTCAGAGGATGCCAGCTGCATACATGGATTCACAGGACACCCCCTACTTTAGACCCAGCATCCCAAACTTGGGGTTTTCCTTTAGTCTCTGGATACCAGCCATAGTTCAGGGATCCTCAGGCTCCTAACTTCTCACCTGCTGGCTTCCACTGCTCCTGTGGATTTGATAATTTCCTCGAATGATTCATTGAATTCACTATCTGTAGAGTGTCAGTATTTATGGTTACTTATTAAAACCTGAAAGGGTACAAAGGAATAGTAGTCCCACAAGGTGAAGTCTAGAAGGGGTCCCGGGGCAGAACTTCCATGTCCCCAGGGGATGTACTTATTGTCACTGAACTGTCATCAGCCTCACCAAATGGCCATGGTAGAATACATCATGCCTGGTGAGGCTTCGTCAGTCTGTCCTCCAGCCTCACCAAGCGCCTTAGCCATGGTCACGCCTCCTGATACTTAGTCAATATCTGACCCGGGAACAAAGGGCCAGATTGCTTTCTGTACCTGCCAGGCATTGAGGGACTTTTAGGGCTTGAACATCTGGAAGAATGGGGCTGTGCTGATTTCTAAGATGGGAAGACTAGGAGGAACAGATTGAGGGTTGGGAGAGAATCAGGAGCTAGTTTCTAGACCAGATAAGCATGAATGAACATGTAAAGGCAATAGTTTGGTATTTGATTATATTTCAGGGTTGATGTGGAGTTCTAGGCATGAGATCCTACTTAGATTGTTAAGTGCCTTTGTGTCCATTCCGACTCATTGTTGACTTTGTATAGGGTTTCCAAGGAGTGGCTCCTGGGTTTGAACCACTGAACTTGCAATTAGCAGTCTAGTTCTTACGTTACAGCCCCACACCAGCTGTGGGACCGGACCTATCAGCCCAGGCAGGTGAAGCTTGAGGACCAGGCTTGGGGCACAGCTGCAGCAGAAGTTGGGGGAGCAAGGAGAGGAGGAAGTGGCAAGGAACACTAAGAAGTGGGCATGCTGGTAGCAAACTGGAGAGCAGCTTCCGAGAGGCCACGGGAAGAAAGTATTACAGGCAGGAGCGGGTGTCAGCTGTGCCAGGCATTCCCGGAAGGTCAAGGGAACAAGGACAGACTTGACCGCTGAATTTAGTAATGTGGGAGCCATCAGAGATCCCCAATAAAAGCTGCTTTGATGGAGGAGTCAGAGTCATGATCGGGGGACCTTGTGGATGCTCTTCACTTTCTGCTTTACTTTACCCATTATGGGATGTTCATTGGGACCAGGACGCTGGAGGCCTGGGTTTTAGGGAGATGGTGTCTTGACGAATTAGGGTGCACCTTTGGTACATGCTCTGGTAGCGTAGTAGTTAAACAAGTTGGGCTGCTAACCTCAAGGTCAGCAGTTCGAAACTATCAGCTGCTCCACGGGAGAAAGATGAGGCGTTCTGCTCCTGTAAAGATTTATAGCCTTGGAAACCCTATACAGGGTTGCTATGAGTCAGAACTGACTCCACGGCACATCGCCACCACCACCAGTAAGCATATGGACAGGCATTTAGACACAGAGACATTGCCTGTGGCCCAGCAGTCTTCCTGTTCCCACGCCTCAAGGGGAGCCTGGCCCTGAGCAAGCCTGGTACACTGGCAACCCCGAAACTAAAGCAGACTCTGCTCTTCCCCTCAGTTCATTCCTAGCACCGACCCTTTCCAAAAGGCTCTGAGAGAAGAGGAGAAACGCCGGAAGAAAGAGGAGAAGCGGAAAGAGATCCGGAAAGGCCCTCGGATTTCCAGGTCCCAGTCCGAATTATAGCCCCCGCGCAGCTCACGGTCCACAGGACCATTTGGGAGGCAGAGGCAGAGGCAGCCACGGAGCAGCAACAAGCGTGTGGTGAGAGCCACCGTGTGACCGGGAGCCAGCTCTGAGCCTGGCCAGAGGGGCTGGACTTCTTCCCAGGCCTGCTCTGGAGGGGCACTTAGGGGACCTAGGAGGCTGCTGTGCTGTGGACCAGCCTGTGGAGACTGCCGGGGGGTAGAGAGGATCTCACTGGGGACACCTTGCCTCGTGGGAGCAGTAGAACCAGACTGGGGTGTGAAGGTATCACACCTACTGCTGGCTTCACAACTGTCACCGGCCCCCTAGTCTAGGGCCCAGCAGAGACAATAAAAGCCAGCAAAGCTGCATGACCAAGGCTGGTTTAGACCCAGGGCATGCGAGCCCTCCGGTGGGCAGTGGTGGGTGTCCCCAGGACATGGAGAACAACTCAGAGGGTGCACATGAAAAGGAGCCCAGGTGGGCAGGCAGGCAGGCAGAGGGGCAGCAGGTCAGCCTAGGCCCCCTAGTCAGCGCTGGGAGGGTGTTCATCCCCAAACCCTCTGTCCTCAGGTACCTGTGGGACAGTCATTGAGGGGGCCCGGGAAGGGCCAGCTTGTCTCTCAGGCAGCACTGAGCCCTGGGCCTGCAGGTGGGGGGCTGCAGGGGGATCTAGGGCTGTGCTGCTTCCTAGTCCAGCTCACTCAGACAGTCAGCTCCCTGTGGCCGAGAGGCAGGACAGGGGAGAGGTTCAGGTCAGCCAGGGCCTGCCTGGTAATAGTAGGAGGAGATGGACTGTCCTCACTGAATACCCCAGCTGGATGTGGCGATGCTCTCAGCTTCCCCTCCCTGGACTAAGGCTCCTTGGGCAGAAGGATTTGCTGATGCCTTGGCCCAGCCCTGACATGCTCCTTGGAGGCTAGGACTTGGCTAGCCTCCCTCCTGGGAGCTCTGGGAGCTCCCCTGGAGGACCCCACCTCAGGGCAGCAAAGGGAAGGGCCCAGAGGAGTTAGGAGACTAGAAGAAGGGAGAAGAGAGGGATGATGGAGGTTGGGAGGAAGAATGGAGTTTTCCCTTTACAGCTGCCCACCATCCACCTGATCCCCCTCTTTGGGCAGGAGGTAGGGCCTGGTGGTGGGACCCACCCTAAATGCCTGGGCTCCCTTTCCCCCTCCCCCAGCTGTGTGACCCCAGCTTCGTTTCTGTGAGGATTACAGGAGATGTCAATACCAGATTTTATGAACTGTAAAGGACTGTTAACACTTGATCACTCACCTACTATGGAAGAAAAAGTCTGGCTTTCAGCGAGATCACATCTACTCTGTAACACACAGGCCTGCCCAGAGTCCTGGTGCCCGCAGGCGGAGCTGAGGCTAGGACCAGACTCTTCCTTGGGGAGGGATGTGGCCAGTCACAGTCTTTAGTAGGACGGCCAGTGGTTGTGGCGGTTAACTCTGCAGGGCCATACAGAGCCTTCCCCTTCCCTGAGGAGGAACTCCTTAGAGACCAGGCTTCAACATGGGCCTATGGAGGGAGCCGAGTAGGGCTTGAAGGATGCCTCGGGACAGTGGGGTGGTGGTTCCAGCTGTGGCTGGGTTCCTACCGAAGGAAGCCCTGCAGGGAGGAATCCTGTGTGACCTGGGACCAGCCAAGGCTCTGTCACATCCTAGCTGTTGCCATCAGAGCCAGGCACCCCTCCCTCAGATCCTGGGTGCCCCAGCTCCGACGGGAACGGCCACCCGCTGCGAGGGATTCTGGAGGAGACCATGAGAGTCTGTGCAGTGATTAGACTTTACTGTTACAAACTGAAAGGTTGGGCATTTGAACGCACGCAGCGCTGTTCTGCTTTATCACATGGGGTCACTGTGAGTTAGGTGACTGAGTCATGTGACACTGGACAGGATTAAAGTGGCTTTTCCATGCATGGCTCTTTGTTGGTCCTGTAAATTGGCTGTACTGGAGAGGGGCTCAGCTCTTTGCACTGTGCCTCTGGGTACCTTCCTCCTCACCTGAGGGCTGCGATTCCCCATCTGCCACCTTCAGAGAAACAGACCCAGGCTGTCTCCCTCCTCATCCCCTTAGCTTGGTGTTGGTCCCAGAATGTGCGTGTTTCCACCCAGGACACGCTTGGATCCAGTCAGGTGACTGAAGCCCTCACCCCACCCCTGTGCCCCAGTCGGAGGGGGAGTCTTGCTGGTGGCAGCGATGATAGCAGGGTGGTTCTAGTGATCATCAGTGTCCTATGTCGGGTCCCAGAAGTGGCGATTGTGGTCTAGGACATTGTTCCTGTTAACTGAACTTCTAGGCTTAGTCCCTGGCACCTCTGGAGGGTCTAGGGGCTTCCCAGAACCCCTGAAAGCAGAGTTTATCAACCGTGATTATGAGATGTTTAGCAACATTCCTGGCTTGACCCCTAGATGCCAGTAGCACTGCCCGTTATGACCACAAATGTCCCCAGGCATTGCCAGACGCCCCTGGGGAGTCAGATTGCCCCCAGTGAGAACTGCAGCTGTGAAGAATTCCTTTTATGCCTTTAATTAGCCAGAGCTGCGTTCCACATGGTAGGAAATGTAGGTTCATCCTGGTGGCGTTCCAGCCTGCCGTCCTCTGCTTCCCCCTCCATCTTACTCCTCACGGTGATCCTCTCAGCTTGGGGTGGGAGTGGAGGTGGGGCTCCCATGCCCTCAGTCAAGCCTGCTCTTGCTCCCCTGGTTCTTCTTGCATCTGCCCCTTAATGAAGGCTTTTTTGTTTTTTGCCATAGTTGCTCTCCTTTTCTGTTGGGCAGACTCATCCTCTGGGACCACATAGCTGATGGCACCTACCCTGTGGCCACCTGCTGACCTTTGTCCCTACATTTCAGCTGTTCCAAACCCAGCTCTTTGTTCAGCTGTCGATTACTCATCCAGTGGGAAGGTGTGCTGGAGGGGGTGGCACCAGAACTGAATCCTGAAGGATTTTGGGGGTTGGAATGGGGGCAAGAGATACCAGACCACGGCTGACATCAGGACCTCTGGTCACCCAGGCAATCCCTCCCTTTTCAGGGGAAGCCCCAAATCTCGGGGACAGATTTGTTGAAGGCTCAGAGTCGATCCACTCCACTAGGATGGGAACTAGTTGGTGGAGATGATCAGTTAGCCGGGACCCGGGGCTGGAGAAGGGATGGCACAGAAGGGCTCTGTGCTTTGGAGCTGGGTCCAGTGTGGCCCCTTCCTAACACCATTTCTACTGCAGCTGCACCTTGCCCCCTCAGGCCTCTTGGCAGGCCCAGCTGGGCACCAGGGGGCTGCTACCAGGCAGAGGTGCCCTGCCTGCTAATGTTGCCTCCTAGGGTGGGAGGGTACATGTCCCAAGTGAACAGGATGAAGCCATTACATTACTACATCCTACCTGGCCAAAAGACAGTCCCACCTTGTGAGGCGCCCATGAGAACCAGCTTAGTACTGAGGCAGAGGGAGGCTGGGGTACTTTGTGCCAGCTCTCCTGAGTCTGAACAGAAAAGAGCACATTCTTGTCTCTTTTTTCCCCCAAAAGTAAGCTTTATTCCTTAGTTATATGTATTTGTTACAAAAATGTAATATAAGCAGTAGTGAGACTCCAAAAGAAATTAAGTTCCCCCAAACCATGCCCAGCTTTCAGGCTGTTGGCCCTTCCTTTAAGCACATGTAAGTCCATAATTTTTTCCATTACAATAGCTGCCTTATGGGCACCAGGCCTAAGGGCAAGTGCTGGCCAGGATGGGACCTGCACTCCCCTGCCCTCTCCAAGTACAGTTCTTGCCTTCTCCGAACCTGATGCTTCACCTGAAATCTCACTTCCTCAGAGTCCTTTCCCCAAGCTAGGTGCTTCGTTACCAGTTTCATCACACTCTCCTGAAATCACCTGTACCATCATCTGCTACACATTTACTTCTGGATTTGCTTGCTCTCTGTTTCTCACACTAGACTGGAAGCTCTCAGAGGGCAGGAACTGTTTCTGTTCAATAAAACGTCTCAAGTTTGTGAATGGTCTCATTTAATCTTCACAGCTATGGGGGAGTACTGTTTTGTCTCCATATTACAGATGACAAAATGGAGACTTGCAGAATGTTTTCTTAACATTCTTAACATCCAAGGTCTGGTTGAACTGCTTGGTCCATATGCCTGTGTGCTCTGAAGTTGGGACCACCAAGTGAAGCTGCCTCCCAGGTTTCCTTTTCCGTTTCAACAGTATGTTATGAAAATCTTTTCTTGTCAACAAACACACTCCGAAGTACATAATTTTTAATGATGCCATGGTCTTCTATCATGTAGATGTAATCTATCCAGTCTCAGTGGGCTGCTCAGTGCTCCTCAGTGACAAGTGTCTGATGTGTGCTTTAGGGCACTCGTGTGCCTTTGGACACATGTGCACACGTCTTTGAGTACTTGTGTGTATTCCTTAGGAAACAATGTCCAGCGACGATGGTGAAGGAGCTTTGAAGATGACCCATTTATATACTCGAGGTAGTTTGCACCCCCAAGGAAAGCCCTTTAAATGGATGGGCTGACCACACCTGATCCTAAAATGGCAAGTTACTACATTGTGGAAGAGCAAGCAGTCTAGTATCTGAGAATTAGAGCTGAGCTGAGTTAGTACATTCCATCAGTTCATCATCCTTGTCAAATTGGCACTTGCACACACCTATGCCATAAATAATCTTCAAATAAAGACAATTATAAAGTCAGACTTACATCTAACATGATCCAACTAATACGTTGTTTTTTGTGAAGTGCCGTTGAGTCGATTTTGACCCATAGCGACCCTGTATAGGGTTTTCGAGGAGCAGCTGGTGAGCTTGAACCACCCACCTTGCAGTTCAAATGGCTCTGCAGTTTGGCACATTAGTTCACAGCGCCACACCAGGACTCCAACTAATATGCATACAACCAAAACTAATATGTGGTAATGACAGCACTTACCACAATAAGGAAGTTGGGGAAACCAGAATTTGCTATATACCCATTGCCATCCTATTGATTCCAACTATAATATCCCAGTGCAAGGAGTGGCTGGTGGATTTGAACCACCAACCTTTTGGTTAGCAGTCCTTTGCTTATCCTACAGCGCCACTCCAGTAGAACTGCACCATAGGGTTTTCTAGGCTGCCAACTTTACAAAAACAGACTGCTCCATCTTTCTCCTGCCAAGTCGTCGGTGAGTTCCAACTGCTGGCTGACCTTTCTGTTGCTCAGGGTGTAACAACTGGGTCACCAGGGTCCTTTATTAAGTGCCATCAAATTGGTTCCAACCTATAGTCACCCTGTATAGGATTTCTGAGGAGCGGCTGGTGGGTTTGAACCACCGATCTTGCAGTTAGCAGTAGGGGACTTATTCGACAGCCTAAACAAGCCAGGCATACTGGTAAATTCCTAGAAATTTGCATATTTAAATTGTTTACTATATGGCCAGCTGCAGCGTAGGACCCTGAGTTGCAAGGAAGAACGGGAACCCACGAATGGGTGAAACCAATGGGTGGTGGTCCTCGCTGAAGCTGCACATCAGCATCCTGTGCTCCTGCCACCTCAGGAGGTCAGGTGCTGGCCTAGGAACTGACATTCTTTGAAGGTCTTGGGGGTGGGGCTAATAGCATGTGCTAAGGTGTAGGGGTGTAAAAAGGCTGGCTATTTGGGCACTTCACTCCGTTTTAGCCTTTGTAGAAGGTTGGTTAGAACGTGACTTAGACGATCTTGGGACTCCTGTCCCAAGTGCTGGGGGCCGGGTTTGGTTTTACTTGCTTTCCTAAACGGTGGGGAAGATGATGTAATGTGCTTACAGCCCGCGCCGGGGGGTGGCTGGTGTGTGAGGACGGGGTGGAGGGCCAGTCATTAACCCTTCACCCCCCAGTAGGTGGCGGGAGTTTCTAGCGGTGCGGACGCCTCAGAACAGGCTAAGACTCTTAACTCTGGAAAGAAGGTTGGGCTGAGGACCCGCCGCCTAGCCCTCTTATTCGCCACGACTACGCGAGAGGCGGGCCGAACTATGCAAATAGGAGCTGCTGATCGTTGACGCACCATCACCCCACGCGCCGCTTCGAACGCGGATTGGCCGCCACTAGCCTGGTCCCATTGACAACAAACAAGGGAAACGCGCCCTGAGAGCTGGGCCACAGAGGGCGGGGGCGGGGGAATCCCGCCCCGCCCCGTCCCTCCCGCGCGGCGCCCGGGCGCAGCGCAAACATGGCGGCGACTGGCGCGGGCTGGTGAGGCGGTACCGGGCGGGGGCTGTTGGGTGTCATGGGCGGTGGCGGTGGCACCGCCCCCGCATCTCCCTGAGCGGGACGGCAGGGGGACCTCTGCGCCGAGCCGGGCGATGGACGAGAGCGGCGAGCTGGGCGGGCTGGAGACCATGGAGACCCTCACGGAGCTGGGCGATGAACTGACTCTGGGGGACATCGACGGTGAGTGGTGGGTGGGTGGGTGGTAGTGCGGAGAGGAAGGGGTTACGGCGGCGCGCGCGGATGCGCGTGCGCCCACCCGGCTCACGCGGGAAGAGCCCGGCGCGCGCTCGCCCGGCGGTCCCCAGCCTCTAAACACCGCGAGCTGGAGTCCCGGCCGCCGTTCGGCAGCCGGTTGCGCGGGGTCCGTAGGGGCTCGGAAGCGGCCTGAACGAGGCGCGCGCAGACGCCTCCCTCGCACGCGCCCCGCGCTCGCCTGCCGCCCCTGCCCGCGTCGCACCTGTCACTCCCGGCGGGGCCGTGGGGGCGGCTCTGGGATTCCGGGTCCGGGTCCTGGCGCCTGCCAGCATCGCTGGTCCTCCAGGAAGTGACGGCCGGGCGCTCGGGAAACTTCGGGCAGCGGCTGCGGGAGCAAGTTGCTGATGAAGGAGCTGTGGTGTGGGATCGTAGGAGCGAGGGCGCCTCACCCTGGTCCGGGATCTTTGTGCCTGCAGACTGGGGCCTTAACAGCGGCGTGGAAGAGGGGGTGGAAGCCCAGGGATCCCCTCTTGCAATCCAATCTTGTGGCCGTGGGAAGCGAGCTTTGGAGAGGGTAGGTGACTTGCCCACAAGTGGCCACAAACTAGTTATGGAGCCAAAGCCCCCTGTCTCCGCGCCCGGGCGGGTGTTGGTTTCCCCCTTCCAGGCTCCCCACACACTCTTTCTGGGATCCTTAGGTTCGGAGTGGTACTAACTCAGTAGTTGTGCACTTTTCTGGTGTTCCAGGCTCAGAGTACTGAATATGATCTCGCTGCTGACAACAATGCAGTTAGGTATTTTTACAGGTCTATTTTACAGGACACTGAGGCCGGGAGAAGGGCCCCTGCTCTCCAGTCACAAAGGAGGGTAGGGGAGCCTTGCAGGTAGCGGAAGAGTCTTTTCTGAAGGAAGAGGGAAGTGGCAACAACTAACCCAATAGGAACCTCTTCCCAGTTGCCTATTTTGATTCAGTAACATCTCTCTCCTGGGCCTGCCCTAGCTCTCAGGTTTTGGTCATCTGGGCCACGTGGGAAGACCCTTCGTTGGAGCCCCACGTCTAACTGCAGATGATCCTGAACGCAGACCTGGCTTAACAAATAGAGATGGATCTTATCCCAAGGACGGCTCACATTCGTGGAGCACTTCTTTGCCAGGCACTCACTGTGTTAAGCACACATACATGTTGATAGTCTCAGTCCTGGAAACAGCCCGGTCAGGTAGGGCTGACCATGCCACTTCCATCATCGTCTTGCAGATCCTGAAACAGGTCCTGGTGAGTCATTAACTCGCCCAAGGTTACCCAGTAAGAAATGTGTCCCAAGCTGCCTCCCAGCAAGCTCTCAAAAGGAAATTCATGAGCATTTTGCATTCCTCTTCCATAATCAATCTCTCTTTGTCTTAGTTTTTAGTAATGTGTTCAATTTCCTGCTGGTTAAGTATTAACCATCTCCACATAACGCTGGGCTCTACCACCACAGTCCTTCAGTGCCTTCAGCTTCCCCCCGGTCTTCAATACCAGTTTTGGAAAAAGTGATTTCCTGTCTTCAGTAGGTCAACAAGGATCCAAGTGCTGGCTGTGGTTCCTGAGCTGTAGAGAAGATGAAAGGCAGGAAAAAGAATTTTACGGCCTCGTGGAGCTTGAGACGGGAACAGTAAAACTGTAGTATGGACAGCTTATAATTGTGAGGTTCAAGGCAGTCAGTGAAAGCTCCCTCCAAGGAGGTAGACCTTGGAGGACAGGAAGGATTGGCCTGGGTACAGTATCCCTATCCACATCCAACTCTTCTCCCACCAGAGCCACACACAGTCTCATGAGGGCAGGGATCTTGGCTTTGTTCATGATTGTGTCCCTTACTAAATATCTGTCGAAGGCTGAATGAACCCAACAACTGTGAATGGGCAGGACACTAAGTTGTACCAACATTTCTTATAGGTGAATTAGATAAGGGGTCACCAGGCCAGAGGCATCCATGACTGGTGAGGTGAAGAAGAGTAAAGGCCCTGTGGTTGTGAGTAGTGTAGGTGGAAGGGAGTAGGGAATGGTAGGGCGGAGGCTACTGGCAGCTTAGACATCTTAAGGGTACATGAGTGGACAGGAAATTTTCCACCAGCAGTCTGCCTTGCGCTAGTCCTTTTAGTGCCCTTTGGAGATACACCATCCACTCCCTCAGCTCCTTTGGAGTGGTTTACGGAGTGCTGAGGAAAGTTTTAAATGGGCAGGCAAGATCTGTTCTCTTACAGGGAGATTAAATGCTCCAGGGAGAACACACAAGCTAAATAAATGAAATGAGTAATCGTGGCAGAGTAACCAGAAGGTAGTAAAGGAAAGCCTCCTAGAAGAGGTATCATACAGTATCTATTTTTCAAGAGATGCCCAAATCAGAGTTTATTATGAGTTCTCCACATTTTAAAATGTTGGCTCTATATTTTTGTTTGTTTTGTAGAAACATCCCGTATGTCAACTAAAACATGTACTTACTGATCTCCAGGCCTTGTTCCACTCTGTTGTCCCAGGACCCCAGGTCTCTTATGATAGGCTAGCTGGACCATTTACCTGTATAATGGAAAAGGGCCTTAAGCCAAGTCTTCTGGAAGGATGGAAAGAGGTGGGCTTCTCTTACGCTGGGTCCAGGACAGACATGGTCATGGAGGTGGTCTTCTTGCTGGGCCATAAAGAATGGGAGGGCTCCTGGTGTGCTGTGGGATCAGCACTGGACTGTGAACCCCAAGGTCTGCAGTTCAAACCCACCAGCTGCGCATGGGAAACCTTATACAGGTCTCTGAGTCAGAGCCAACTCAGTGCCCTTAACAACAACAAAGAATGGGTGGCAGGAACCGCATGAACAAGCAGAAGGACCATGCTGCCTTAGAACACAGTGACTACTAGAGATGACTCATTCATTCTGGGGTTCTAACTTTTTATTGTGGGTTGAGAGAAAGTTTACAGAGCACATTGGTTTTCCATTTAACAGTTCCTACACATTTTGCTTCATGACATTGATTGCAGTCTCCACAGTGTAACAGCGCTCTTCCTGCTTCCTCCCTGGGTTTCCTGTTTCCATTCAGTCTCCTTTCCTATGCTTTCCTGTTTCTGAGCTTATCCCATGACAAATGCTGCCCTTATGGTTGATCATCGGGTTCGGGGTTCTAGCCTACACGCTGCTCCGAGGGAGAAAGATGAGGCTTTCTGCTCCCGCAACAATTTACAGCCTTAGAAAGCCTATACAGGGTCGCTATGAGTCCAAACCAACTTGACGACACTTACCAACAATAACAAGGTTGGCTCATCTAAGGAGTGCATACTACCCCTCCCTTCTGTTAGAGTTCACCGTGTACTCCTGCCTCTTGTTTGGCTGAAAGACGAGCCATTGGGGCTGAGGTCAGTTCCAGGATAATCAGGGGTTTTAAGAAAACTCAGCTGTGGTTTTAAGCAGAGACTATTGAAGGCAAGGAGATCCTCTAGGCCTTAACTGCTTTCCTTTCATCATTGTTGTTAAGTGCCATCGAGTCAATTCTGACCCACAGCGACCCTGTGTAGGGTTTCCGAGGAGCAGCTGGTGGGCTTGAAACGCCAAGCTTGCGGTTCAAGCTGACTTTGCATTCCAGCACCTTAACTCACAGTGCCACACCAGGACTCCTTTCATCATTGCTGTTATTGGTGAATCGATTCTGACCCATAGCAACCTTGTATAGTGTTTCCAAGGAGCAGCTGGTGAGCTTGAACCAAAGACCTTGCAATTCAGACGACTTTGCAGTCTGACACATTAGCCCACAGCACCACACATGATGATACAGGCTCCACCAAGAGCGTGGTAGGGACATTGCATAGGCCATTGCCGTTGTCCACTTGAAAGGGCATACATAACCTGTACCAAGGAAGGCAGAGCACCAGTGGGATTCCAGGATCTCATCAAGGCTATGAGACTAAGGCTTTGGGAGAGTTCAAAGGCCAACAGGAATTGCTGCTTTGGGAAGGTGATGACAATTTCTCTTTTAAATGGACTGAAATTGAGGTTCTTGGGGGTGGGTGGGGTCATCCAGTAGGAAAGTCCTGAGGGTGGAAATTGAAGTGGTCATTGTAGATAGTTGTGGGGAAAATGAGAGAAGACAGAACTGAAATCAGCTGGAGAGGGCCTTTCCCAAGAGGCCTTGAGCTTTTCAATGACGGGTTAGTGTGTGGTGACGACAGTGCTGCAGAGAGCAGCAAGGATGACAAGGCCGTGGGAAGATGTGGCATTCAGGAGGTTGACCTTGGATAGAGCAGTCAAGAGGAGGGGGAGGCCACGTCCCCTGGGAAGAAAGGAGCCCGAAGGGGGTGGGTGATGGGCAAATAGGGGCAGCCTTAATCTTTGGAGAAAGTGGAAGAATTTTCCACAATCCCCTTTACTTTTTGTCTTTGTGGATTTGCCTATTTTGGATATTTCATGTAAATGGAATCACACAATATGTGGCCTTTGGGGATTGACTTTCACAAAGTCTAGTTTTGGAGGCTCATTCGTATTGTGGCTCCGTTCTCCAATGGATGGACAGACCAGGTTTGTTTATCTGCTCACCAGTTGTTGGGCATTTGAGTGGTTTCCACTTTCTGGCCACTCTGAGTGAAGCTGCTCTGAACATGTGTGGATATAAGCTTTGGTGTGGACATGGTATTTTCTCTTGAGTAGGTCCTCTAAGTTTGTTCCTCCACTCCCCTTACCCTCTAGAGTTAATAATTCTTATTCATTAGCACTGGATTGTGAACCACAGGTTGGCAGTTCAAACCCACCAGCTGCTCCTCGGCAACCCTATACAGGGTCATTGTGAGTCAGAACTGACTCAGTGGCACTTAACAGCAACATTCATTTGCTTAGTTTCTGTGTTCCCAAACAAATTCAGACCTAAATCCTGTGACCTCTTGTAAAAATTGTTCAGTTCCTTTGATCCCCATGCTGGCGTCTCTGTTGTAACCCTCCCTCATTCTGCCCCATCTGATGTTGCTAAATCTG